TTGTCGATATATGCTTCGTTGGTCTTTTCTAAATGTTCAGTTGTGTTATGCTTTAAATTTTATTAAAGAGCAAACTAATAAATTTGTTTATTAGTATGTAACGGCTTTGTCATATTGTTTATTCTTCCGGTTCGTTGGTGTTTTTCTTTATTTTTGTTTCGTTCTCACAGTCTACGGTTAAATTTTTTCTATTTATAAGTTCAAAGTGGATGAAAATACGATATGATGTATATAAACTGAAATTAAAACGCTTTCAATTTTATATCGGATTCATAAATATCTATTTTTGTTTCCTCACATTGTCATCAGACTAGATTTCTGATTTTGACAATGAGTTGTTAAGTCTAATTCAAAGTTGGTTAAAGTGAATATATACAGTGTAAAGTAGAATATAAGAGGTGTGGATTAGAAAGATTCTTTTTTCCTCTTTTTTCTTAATTCGTTATTATTCATATTTTATTGTTCAATGTCATGGGAATTCTTAATAACCCAAATTTAAGTGATAGAAGATACAACTAATGTAGCTGGAAAATTTAGAGTAATAAAATGTTTAGAACTGTATACTATCTAACAATCTCATGTGTAGTAACAATTATCAATAAAGCATTTGGACTATAAATTAGTTTTATTATAATCATCGTTTTTATTTAGGTTTTCCAATTTTCTCGAAAAGATTTTTAAGACGTAGTGTAATTTCACTAGCTATTCATTTCTGTAATGTAACCTATTAAATATGTTAGAAGTGTATTAATTAGAGTTTTGAGTAACACTTTTGATGTCAGAACTATTGATAGCATAAGTACTTAAGCCATCGTACCAAAGTGGGGTTCTGATTTCAAGTGTAATAATTGAAAATTAAGTTATTTAACTACATTAAATGGTGTACCCTCGTGTAGATACATAAATATGTATTTGACTAGTCTCTGTTCTTTATTTGAAACATATTTCTTTATTAGAACCTTATGTACTTGGTTGTATTTTATGAGGCTGTCTTAATTCTGAAACAGATTTTTTGGGTGAATTCATCCATCAATTTAGTTTGTATAAATCGAATACAATTTAACAGTAAGCTATCAAAGTATATTACATAATTCATGCCAGTTTACAGACATGATCATTTTGACATAATAACATTAAATGTAGAGAACAAACGTGATATAAGATTGTTTTAAGTTTACTAGTTCAAGAATTGTTTATTTAGTACATTTATGGCATGTTTTACAGCAATGAAATGCATCGGCCGGGAACTTTTAACTCTTCTTAAGTGAACATCCTATTGATTTATGAACGGTGCATTTAAGGTCATTTCTTGCGCCATAACGAATTAATTGTAATAATCTACAACTAGGGAAGGTAAAATGGAAGCAGTGAGCATGGAACAACAAGGCAATAATTACTAAAATGTTTCAGTCATGTTTACCATAACGTATGTGTCATGTGACTCGGTGATATACTGTTCATGTTAGATATTATTCAAATTAGTTAGGGTTGCCAGGAACCGTGTTAACGTAAAGTAACAGCAGGTAGGTGATTTTACTTAGGGAATTCAGTAATACGAATGGCTAAACATTTAAAATTCCTATAATCTCACTTGTGGAGTATGTTACGCTTAGAAGTGCTAGAACATTTAATGCATTTTCAGAGGAGCAGTATGCATCATTGCAGCGAACAAAGAGTAGGAGTGATTTTAGCTTACGGCTAGATTGTGTTAGATTATTCTGGAGTTTGGAAGATCTGCAGGTAAAGTAATTCATATAGAGAGATGATTTGTAATGGGTTTGCTTCATTAAAGTAAGGGAGTTATGATTAGTAGCATACTTTCGGTGTTTCAAGTTTCCATTGTTCCATTTGTCTCTGTTTTTTTGCATTTATGGTTATCAAAAACATAAATGTTAATCTTATTTGTCTCTGTTGACTCCCATTGATCCTGATAAGTTTCGTAACCTAGTAATAACTAATTATTATCCAGATATATACTTGATTAACACACGTGTCAATTACATAATACACTCATTATATCTTCAATCTCTTAGTTCAGATACAGGTGATCATGTTCATTCGGTCTACTTAGTGTTTTCAATGAGGATACTACGTGTTGAGTGAGTTAGAGAGGTCTGGAGCTATTTATAATCCGGCCAGACATCGGGACTATTATGTAATTCACCTCGGTAGTACATGTCTTCGTGTTGTGTTATTGTTTAACATGCAATTGAAGAAAGACTATTATTTCAGATTAAATGGTTTATATTATGACTACACTGCGTAAGTAGTACCAATACTGAATGTAAAATCCTAGTTTAAGTAAATGAAGCATATTTTGTCCTAAACATGTTGTAATTGAAATACTAAGATATGTTTTGCACATTTTAAATTACTATTTTTATTCGCACTAGATATGGGACAAGAATAGTTGTTCATCCCGTTGATGTTAAAATATTTCCACTCTTCCAACACATTCTTTGTCTACAACTCTAAGTACATTCTTGTTTTTCAAAAAATCTTTGTATCTTTAACACTATGATATATCAGACTTAGATCATCTAATAAGGGAATCATTGGATATCCTGTCATAGTCATGATATTGACGTAATCTGAGTTATTTTTTAATAAATCCGTTCATTAGACGCTAGAGTAATTCTCAGATGTTACTTTATGTATGGAAAAATTCACTAATTCCTTTGTTGTGTCATATATACAAATCTGTCATTTGACGTTATCTAATATCGTTTATAGTTTTAGATATATATACCTGAGTAGAGTTATACTTGTTTGTTGCAATGAGTTATATTTTTTTAGTGGGTATTTTCATTTTCCTACTTAGTACTCCCGAAAATACATATCATTTGTAACAAATGTATACGTAAAACAGAATTGTTATGATTTTTCAGCCATAAATATTGTGGAATTTAGTGAAGGATTAACTGATGACGTAAACTGACCATTTTTTAGTGTTCAGATTTTATCAGTCTAATATCCTCATTGCTTTCCTGTAAATCTCTCATTTGTGTTGTATAAGATAGCTGATAAGCAACTAACATTTTCAGCTTAATGTTCAAGTTTTAACCTTATTAGATTATATACTAATCCCAACAGGGAAGTTAAGTAGATGATTTGACTTTCCATGGTTAGCTAGACGTCAGTCGTAAGCCATAAGTGAGTAATCAACCTATAAACGACGAACGCAAAGCCTTTTTAAAATACAATAGTAACACCCAGTGTTTGTCGTTTTCTTCGTTTTACTAAGTTGTTGTTAATTAAGTCTTTGAGTAGGTACCAATCTTGTTCCTTACTAATTACTATTTCACTGAAATATATCTTAGCTGCTTATTAATTTAGTTTCTGTTGGGCAAGACTATAATTTATGGACGAACAAATCAGATTTAAGATTACCAGGTCTTGAATTTTGGCGCGAAATCTATTCATTTATTTGGCTAAATATAGTTATGGCATTTTAGAATACGTCATTTCTTGATGAAAATCATAAATCTAATTTATAACCCTAACCACCAATTGTAAATCATAATCTTTATTCTTCACACAGGTTTATAACTCTCATTTAGCTTTAGTAAGTTGGTGGACATTCTTAAGGTCACTTTACCTCCGCTAAATGGTCGTCCATAAATTATAGTCTCACCGATCCTGTTGCCAGATTTCGTTTCAAGAGATATAGATAAGGTAAAAGTATACTATTTTGGGGACCTTGGCCGACTTGTCAACCAATCAGGAAACTCGGTCTAGTTGTAGAGCTATTAACAAGATAAGGCGATAAAATAACAGTAGAATAATGACTTGGATTTGAATAATTAGCCTTCACATGTCAAATTGTCTTTTATATTAGCGGTAAAAGGTCAGATGCACTTATTAGGAACCTGGTTAGTGTTGCGTGTTAAGGTTATTACCTCATGGAGTTCCCGTCACCAACTGACACAAGTTATAATGTAAGAAGACTAGGATTAAATATTTAGAGTTACACTGGAGTTTATAGTTGAGTTTACAAATTTGGGTTAGGGTTTTCATCACGAACTAACATCAGCTATAACATAATGATTTCTCACCCTTATTTTTTACGAACTTAAGAAACTTAGTGTTGAGATTTAGAGTAAGTGTTATAAAAGGGGAATATTATATAGCTTCACTAAACACTTAACTGCGCGTTGAATCACATCAAGAACTTTAGCACACAATCTGGTTAGGAGCAAGTATGTTTTGTAACTTTGCACCATCTTAACTTCAATTTTTAGTTGCATACCGGATATTTTCATTGATTGCCAGTGTTGTAATAATTTATTATTGCCATTTTTCACTTAGTTGATAAAAACATACAAGTTATCTATCATTGTACTTTAAATTTCGCGTAAAATACGTGAAGGGTTATCTTCTGATTTGTTAACTCAAGGCTATCAGTATACTATACTTTTACCAGAGACAACTGAATTCAGTATTTAATTGTGTTTTTGTTTTCTTACTATACACTCAACAATAATCAATGTTAATTAGGCTTTTATAGGTGTGGGAAATATTTCCCAATAAGTAGATGAAAATTGGTTATGATGTACGTTATCTATCACTAGAATGAACTTTTAAAGCGACCAGTGAAAAAAATTGTCGAGAATAACCGTAAATGTATCTCAGAATCATTGTTACTGTTGGAATTTTCTTTGTTGATGATATTTATCTCCTGATAAAAAAACTTTCATGATTACAACTCGTTTTACTTACTCAATATGTTGCATCATTTGATGGTTTATGAAATTGATTTACTGTATGTGTTTACCACATGATTAGCTAAATAAATTGTTCTAATGAATCATTTATGTTATAATAGTTTAATCAGGTTAGTCTATACAATATGTCCAGTCATTTCATATTCTAGTTAGATGATTGAAGAAGTAACATTCTGTTAGTTCAGTTTAATTTCAGAATTTTCGAAATAAATTCTACTTAGACTTTCATTTGTTCGTTATTATACAAGTTCTTTATTATATCATTTTTACAACTAGAATCGTGGAGGTCCTGGTGGTCTTGATATGAATGTTCAATCAGTTTGGGCACGTGGTTATGCAGGTCAAAGTGTTGTGGTTACTATTCTAGACGATGGTTTAGAAACAGATCATCCGGATTTGAAAGATAATTACGTAAGTTATATTCTTTCTTCTGAGACATTTTCTTGATTATACTTTCCTATTTTTTGAAATGAAAATATAAAGAAAAATATCTTTTATGACACAATACTGTTTTGCTTTTGATGATGTAACTACAGCCTACATTGTCTTTTAATGTTTCTTAAATTGTAATAATAGGGAAAAATCATTGCTTATAGAAAATATCCTTAAACGTCTAATGTTTTGTAACATGTCGTAGTGTTCGGTACTGATTTTCTAAACATTATTTCATTGAATCGTTTCTGTTTAAATTCACTGTTGATTGTTTGTTCCATTGTGATAAATAATTTCACGAATACTTACCTTAGTTATCTACGTCTCTAACAACTATGTGTTGTGGATGCGCAGGAATAGACCAATAATTATCATGTTAAGTCCAATAGTGTCCTTGGACTTTAAATGGGTATTTTCTATTTGTCGATATCTGTTCACTTGTTGTATATTGTACAAAATGTTGTTTTCTATTTTATGGTACGATGTGGTGTGCTTGATTGGTATATAAACAAAGTATGTTTGAAATATAATGATTCATATCTCCGAGGCTGTGACTTTGTTCTCCACTCAACTGGGCTAGGACAGACAGCGGGGCAGGGCCAATCAGGGCACTAGGTCGTCCCTTACGTGTTTTCCGTGTCACTGTACTGCGATCGATCAATAAATACGCTGCTTATCAAACCCTGCAGTCTCACCAACTTAAATTCATAACAATTGGCGACGGGGTGGAGAAAAATTTTGAACCTTGTAATTGGACGAGATTCAGGTTAATTGTTTCGACCAATCAGCATCCAGATTGTCACCAGCGTCCTTGAGCAACATTGGTCATTATTCCTACAGTTAATTTTCATTGCAGGTGCTGAAAAAAAAATGACTACCTTTTCCGATCGATTACAGCTTCTACTTGAGCAACAACAGCAGTGCTTCAAAAATAGCCAGTTAAATTTTTTAGAAAATTTACGCACACTGTTGGTAAATGTTCCATGTTTCGGAGGTGCAACAGAAGTTGGTAAATTCATTTCTCATCTGCAGACTGAGCTGGAAAACAACTGCAGAACATATGAAGCTGTTTATAAAAGCCTCTGTGAATCCCGGACGACCAGTGATGTAAACGAGACAGTTATTCATGGTCCGCCCAGTTGTCCAGAAATGTCAAATTCCGAAACGTTCCCTGTCGTGGGTTCAAATCCCACTGTTCCTGAAACGTGTACAGACAGTGATGTACCCAGCTCACAGGAGGATCTCTTATTAAATGCTCATAAATTAATTGCAGTACCCGCCCACAACGGAACAGGGAACAAATCGTGCGGTACACTGAATCCAGCTGTTTCAAATGGTCCTCATCATTCAACAACAGGAGATTCTGACGAATCTTATTATCTAGATCTTTTTGTACCAGAAAATGTGTTAAATGCATTAAATGATGATCAGAAATCTAATACAATTTTGATAGATGTTGATTATCGCAGTGATCAACTGTTTACAAATGAGATTTTCAACAAATCCCGTGACAATGTTCCAGAAGAATCAAACGTTGGTGACCTCATATCAAGCGACATTGTTCCCCACTATTTAATCACTTTCAGTGACTCCCCTGTTCAATCTGACAATTATGTGTTAAATAAAGTCAAATTAATTCTAACTTGGGAATATGAGGACCCAACATTATTTCGTGGGGGAGGATGAACCCAGAAAATTTCAAAATCCGGATATCAACTCCGGATCTTCAAAAAAAAGGGGAGGTGTTGTGGATGCGCAGGAATAGACCAATAATTATCATGTTAAGTCCAATGGTGTCCTTGGACTTTAAATGGGTATTTTCTATTGGTCGATATCTGTTCACTTGTTGTATATTGTACAAAATGTTGTTTTCTATTTTATGGTACGATGTGGTGTGCTTGATTGGTATATAAACAAAGTATGTTTGAAATATAATGATTCATATCTCCGAGGCTGTGACCTTTGTTCTCCACTCAACTGGGCTAGGACAGACAGCGGGGCAGGGCCAATCAGGGCACTAGGTCGTCCCTTACGTGTTTTCCGTGTCACTGTACTGCGATCGATCAATAAATACGCTGCTTATCAAACCCTGCAGTCTCACCCGTTGCAACAATTGACAACTTAAATTCATAACACTATGCTTTTGAATATATCTAGTTTCTTGCTTTTATTAGGCAGTCTCTACTTGATTGAATTTCTTCATTTCAATTACTGAAGCTTTTTATTCATCAATATTTATATGAATTCGATACCCAAAATTATTTGCGTTTGTTTTTTGCATAATAACTGACAATCATATGGATTTTTTCTCAATTTCAGACAGTAGTAATTACTTTGTTCAAATAGTGTCTTAATTAAAAGACTGTGTGTTCTATGCGCAGTTTCATTTTATTGTCAAAAATCATTTCCTTTATAATTAAGGAAAGTCGGATCAATGACTGTGGATAATGTCGTATACACTTCTCATATTATGATCGACTATATGCCTATAGTTGATTGGAGTTATGGATCTATTCAAAATCACTTCATATGATACATGGCCGAGTATAACTAATGGATATTAAGAATATTAGTCTCTATATTTCTAGTTAAAAAAAGTCTATATTCTCGACGAACCAATCATTAAGAACTCAACTGGTTTACTGAAATATATACTGCTTCTTGATTTGATTTAAGTAGATTCAATAAAATTCAGTTGAAGTATTATTCTAACTGTTGTATTTATATCTGACATTTAGTTATTATATGTCTAATGATTTGTTAATTTATAGTCTTTAGTAAGAGATATAAGTTAATTTTAATGATTGATTCCTAAAACAAGACATTTAGATGTGGTGGAAAGAATTCTAAATATAACCTTTCAATTGATGTTAGCTACGAAACACCATACAGCGTGTTTAATTTGAGTGGTAATTTAGATTATAAGTAGTTTATTATTAGTATACTGAATACAGGTATTAGTAATAATGATAATTGCTTCATTCAGTAACCTATATTTGATCACGATAAACAATCTTTAACATAAAATGTACAATATTGTATTGAGTTCCCATTTTATATTCATTTAATTTGTAATTTTAAAAAGAGATTTCTATAAAAGACGGTTTTCGACAATAATTGGCTGTTATTAATATTCATCTGTAAATGTTTACAAGTAATTCCTCTTCCATGATACCTCTTTTCTTCGCGTTATATATTTAGTACGTGAATTACATTGAAATTATCTTTAATTTCTCCAAAGGACACATAAGAAGAAAAGTATATGAACCAATTTGATGGTTCTTTTTTAAGTTTTCAGCAATCGAACTCGCGATAATTTTAAAACATTAGATGGTATTGAGCAAGTACATGCAGTTATCATACTTAATTAGCCAGCTGAAACAAATATAAAACAGAAAATTCCGGCAATAAATCCATGTCGATAAATAGGTGACACAGAAGTTTAAACATACCGCTGGTGCATTAATCGTATGTCAGTTTAAGACAAGACCTTACCTTTGATCAATACAAAATCTCTCAAAAGTCTCCATAGCGTTTAACAAGTTAATTATTTTTACACATTGTTCTAACTTCATATTTTATTTAAAATGTCTGGCGTCTAAAACGTTGGCTTTTAGAATAACACCAAAACAACTGTGCTTCTATTTTATAATTCATATCCATCCCTGAACTAGTGATCAAATTTCCACTCCTTTCCTCATTGTTCTCCTCAAACCTGTGGTCCAATAATATTAAGAATTGTAAAAATGATATAATCTGTTATCTTAGTAAGATAATGATTTGTTCAATGATTAACTTTTTACAGTAATATGCTCTAGTAATCAGTAGTTTAGTTTCAAGTGTAATTGCAGTTAGATATAATTTGCTGCTCGGACGAAAAATGTGTACGCCTAGACTTATTGAGCAATAAAGCTCAAACTTATTACTATTTTAAACATTATTTGTCATACTTTCAAAATTTATCGTTAGATATGATGAAAAATACCTGCAACATCTTAAGATATCTGATCAGCTTTGATATTTTTTGTATTCACTTACATGTAGGCATTTTAGGTAATCAAGTACTGGTCTACCCACTCTATTTGAACCATATTATTTTGTTAAAGGGTTTAAGGAAGAATTTCAAACATTTCACTTCTATCCGACGTTTGTGCTGATGTTATTGTTCAGAGGAACAATGAAAACTTCATAACCAAACCATTTAATTCAGAGAACAAAACTTCACCTAAACCTGATTTTTTAACTTTGAATCTTAATCTTATTTCCTCATATTCGTTTATAATCCTTTTGTAACCCTAGTAAATGGTCGAATTTTTGATAGGTCACTTTAACATTACTCAAAGGTCATTAATACATTATAATCTCGCCTAAAATTCAACTTCGTCTACATGATTTAAAAGTTGTATAGTTTGTTCAATAAGCCATTTCTACTTTCAATTTTATCGTAAAAGGTAAATAAAGAAGTAATTTCTAGTAATAACTATAAAGAATAAATTTATGAAGCATCTCTTTTAAGTTCATAAAATCATTAATTTACATTTATGGTTTGTCGTTTGTTTTGAAATGGAGAATTTCAAATAAAACATGAAAAAAAAATATTTATGTAAGTTTAATTTTTATTTATATTAAAATGATTTATTAAGATGGTTAATATATGCGTATATTTAATTCTTTTTAGTGACATTAACATGTTTGTTGAGTTAGTTAACATTTTATGGAAATCCATTCAAACAATGTTTTGCTCTTTTTTTTTGTTTGTTTTTGGTTTGAAACTAAATGTTTAAATTTATCAGTTTATTGTTTCTTCTTTTAACATTCCATCGAGAATTTTCTTTTATCATCCATGAACACACACACATACACTCATATCTGATAATGAATGACATTTAGGAATTTATGTGTAATACATGTTCTTGTGTCTGATGTAAAAGAGTTGAAATAAAATGGTGGGAATAATATTTTGAAAATCATAATTGATCATAACTACTTGACAAATCTTAATAATAATAATTAGTTTAATGGGTTGAGGAATTGTTTTAAAATTCAGGATTTTTCTCAATACACTAGGTCAATACGATGAGATGAATTTATCAAATCAAGTGCTCGTTTATTTAATCGGCATTGAGTCATACTTTTTGTTTGAACGTCTATGAAATTTTTGGTTTACCAAGTAGGTGTTGATACATTCAATTCAGTGTTTGATAGTCAAGTGATATAAACACTAGGCCACCACTACTTATACGACTGGGAAGAGTTTTATAAAGTACAGAAATACTGGTAATCTCTCTCAGTTTATTTCGTTATCTTTCAGGAAAAAATCTAAATCTTCTGTAGACTGACTCTGAACTTTACTTAATAACTATGTTACTCATTTAAATAAGTAAGTCAGTGAATAATTAACATTATTAGCTTGAATTAAGTTATTGCCAATTTTTGTATACGAGTCATACCGTTGTTTCTTTTGGGTTCATATAGCTGTTTTAAAAACTGATCAGTCGCTTATGTTGCACTATACCCCACTTTTTGTCTAATCCCCTTTGGACTATAAAATACTTGCTAATTTACGGCTTCTACTACATCTCAAATTTTCAACTGTGATCTAAGTAGTTTTTTATTACATACTATTATCTACATAATGAATTTAATTCATTGCTTTGTATATTTACTTGCGATAAAACTCAGTTCAGTTTCATTTCACTTTTCATTTATTTATTAAAATCTCATTAAAATAGTTTAAACAATATGTTGTGTAGTTACGGAATCAAACACTTTATTTAACATTATATAACAGTGTTTTTACAAATTATTTTGATGATAAACTCTATAACACTTTACTATGAAAGTTATTTAGAACTTTATTTAACATTTTTATTTTCTATAAAAAAATTTGTTGATTTATAACAATTTATGGACCACTGAACCGGCATCCAACGGTGTTAATGTCTAACTTCAACTAATCAACAAAATTGAGCCACAGTTCACCATTGTTTTCTGTGAAGTTAGACATTAACACCATTGGATGCCAACTCAGTGGTTTAGAGGCCAAGCGTTCACACGCGAGACTGATAGGTCCTGGGTTTAGATCTCGCGGGGCCGGATCGTAGATGTGCACTGCTGAGGAGTCCCATACTAAGATAAAACGACCGTCCAGTGCATCCAGGTTTTCCATGGTGGCCTAGCTTCGGTCGACTTATGAATTCAACTATAAAATGACTGCAATCTCCACAAAACCACTTCTGGTTATAACAATTTGTTGAAATTTCTCACTGAACAAAAAAGGTAGCCCGATGATTTTAGCATTACTTCTAATATCTAGATCTATACTCTTGAAAATAAATTCCATACATCCATTAAATTTTTCAAATCATTATTTAATCGAATAAAAAAAGAGAAATGTTAATAAATTTATTTGACATTAGCTAAAGGCAAAATAGAATGACCCAGAATAACAGTTTGTTACTAACAATTAAGTTAATTTTTCAATAATTTATTATTGATAAATGAAGTGAAGGAAAAGCCAAACAGAAAAAAAAATAGAAGAAATCTTATGAACTTTGTTAAACATAAGAAAATTCAACTTCGTGACAAAAAAGAACCATTTTGCGAAAATTGTTCATTGAATCGTTAGATTCTGTATACATTTAAAGTTTAATTTAGTCAAAATATACTTTCATTTTAGTCTAATAATCCAACTGTTTCATTGATCATATTTGTTATTTTCTTTGTTTTTTAATACGAGAATATTTTTTATTTTTCTCTCTTGTCAACTTACATTCTGTAAGTAGTATATAAACAGATACTTGAAATGAGTTTATATAGTTTCTTACTTACGGTCATTTCATTTTACCTACTTCTAGTTACTGTTTAAGTGTTGTTATTTTCATAAGTCATTAAACATTTTAAGTCATCGCAAAATATAAAAAGTATAAAATGAAACACTTCATCATTTATTATTTATTTTACAAAGTTAAAAAAGAGACGAATAAAATATCAAATGAGAATATTGTTTGTTCGACTGAACTTTTCATTTCTACATTTTTAATTATGTATTTGTTTTTCTTTTAAAACAAATTTTCAAATATACTTAAAGATAATTCATTAGTTACGATCATAGAATAAACTATGAACCCGACCGTTACTGCTACCTTGACGTGGTGATGATCGTGCTTGCCTATCGTGATGAACCAGTCGAGCTATACTGGTTGGAACAATCGTTCCTCAGGGTCCTAACATGCCACACAGGTCGATTGAAGAGGGCTAAGACTAAAAGCAACAAACCCATGGTGTGACGGCAGTAAGGTGTTTTCTTCAGACAACCAGTATAACAGCGATGTTGCAGCCGCACAAGGAAGACTGGAGTTAAAAGAGATCCACCCTAAAATTGCACCCCGCCTTATCCCACGGATTTCCGTCTCCAATGGTAAGGTGCTAACAAATACGGAGCTAACACGAAAATTACTTACAAAAAAGTCGTGTGTGCCCGGCCTCAATCAGTTGTTCCATATGCAGTGCGATCACGCTCTCAGATCACTAAGACCACCTCTGATTCAATTTCCTTTTCAGTTACCTCCTGACTGAATAGGTTATGAAAGCATATATCAAAATTGAATATTTATTGATTATTTTTTAGAAAAAATATAAACCTATGGTGTATCAGCATTTTCAGTTGTAATATTTTATTTATTCTATAATATTGCATCCATTGAAGTCAACAATTTAATTACGATACCAACACAGTGCTTCTGGATGGCATCATCACCACTCGCTGTAAATAAATGTTGTTTGCCATTTGTTTTCCGTTGACATGTTTTCATTTCCTTGACTTGATATTTCTGTTAAAAGACTTGAAGGACTACAATCTCTCTCCTCATGCTTGGACTGAATAACTGTCGAACACTATACGCTTTTCATTCATCTTTTGACTGATTTGAATAATCTTTAAGCTACTTTGTCTTTTCATAACTGTTATACATTTCATCATCTATTCGTGTCATAGTTTTTACTCTACTTATTCTGACTATTATTATTATAATTTTGTCCGACTTTAGGATCCATTTGCATCATATGATGTGAACAGTAATGATGATAATCCAGAACCTCGTTATTTAACAAGAGATAAAAGTAATACCAAGTAAGTCTGTTGTAAATTTATTTCTATATATTTAATACTATCGTAATTTTAATAATTTCTATACAAATTTCTTTCTAAAAAATGTGTGGACTTTAGAGATGACTTTGTTAAGAAAAATCTAGTACAATAAAACCATTTAAATTTTAGTTACAGTGTAGTATATTGACACCCTTGAGTTAACTAATCAGAATTACGATGAAGCCTTGTGTATTTTGAACGATATTTACAGTGCAATGGTAGATAACTTAGATGCTATCACAAGCGCATTAAATATTGGCAATACTTGATTCCTAAAATGTATGAAATCAACGGAAAGTGAATCTAAAATAGTGCTTAAACTAAATTACAAAACAGGCCTGCTCCTAATGCAGAATGTGTGGTAAAGTACTTGATGTGATTCAATACGTATTCATGAGTGCTTCGTTAGGCTAGATAGAATTTCCCCACTCTAAACCATACTTTAAATTCCAGTCACAAATCTCATAAGTGTGTAAAAAAAGTGGCAAAAATTTGCATCATAGCTTGTGTAAATTTGTGATGAAAACCTTAACCTTTATTTGTAAATCCACTTCAGAACTCCAGTTTAACTCCTAATACCTAAACCTAAGCTTTTGTGTTATCGCTAGTGATAGTCACTGACCAAAACTTTAAGGATTGGTAATTCTAACATACAACAGTATCCTAACTATTAATCTGCAAAACTTTACCCTTTTGTTTTACTGCAAAAAAATATGATGGTTAAATATTGAGTTATTATTCCACTGTTATAATATTAAGTTTTTACCACTAATTCTTTTGTAACAAGGTTCTGTTTCCTAATTGGCTGATAGATCCTTCAAGGTTATCAGTAGATTTTGCTTTTGCCCCAATTCTATAAAGACATATGTATATCATAATTATTTTTCTCGTTTATAGAAATTCTGTATTATACAGAGATAAAATAATCTAAGCTTTTTCATAGATGTTTATCTGTGTAGGTTACTTGTAAAATTGACAAATAATTTGTGAGGTAAATCACAGAAAAAAATGATGGAATGAATATGATAATAACAACAATACTAAGAGAAAATTGAATGAGAAAGTTTGTAGGAGAAATAAGGATATAGTGTTAATAATTTAAAAGAAGGTAATATTTGTTTCAGTATCGATAATTTCTAGTTACCTAAACTATCTAATGATAATAAATCTCGAGATTAATTTTCAAGCGTTAATAATATCTCTTTTACTTAACTAAAACCTATTGTCTATAATTCAGTAAACTTGGTAAATGTATTTTGTTTGTCCGTTAATTACAGTCTATTTGATTAAAATAACAGAGTTGGCATAAATTTGTTGTATAATTTATCTGCAGAAAAAATTATTGTCAGTAGTCATTGTTCGTTGTTCGTATAAAACATCTTCATAGTTTTATTCGATTTATTATTAATGTTGAGTTGTTTTCAACTCAGGATGGCTATAATTAGCTTTCTCTTTTGTTTAAACTAATATTTTTCTGAATAAATTGTGTATGGTTCCACATTTAGTTAGGAGGTGATTTGTGTACTAGGGGAGCATACAGAATAACGTGAGCGAGGATAGATGAAAAAGTGTGCCGACGACCTAGGTACCGCTTACTGTGCTTACATTTAATGAGGGAAGCAACAGACAACAGTCGGCAACAATACAAGTCTTAAATTACGACAGTCTGAGAATTGAAACTAAAAGCATACAGTTTAAACCGCTTCACTCGTTACTGTTTACCTTATTTTTAAATCAAAATATTGACTAAATTCAACGTATTTGCTGATGATTATTTTATTGTGGTATCATGCCTGTTTATGTATGGATTGCCTATTTTGCCTCAATTACTGATTATTCAATTTAAGCATCATGTAATATTAGTGATATCTGTTTAACAATGTTTGTGATATTTCAATCTTTAGTAAGCTTTTTGGTTACAATAATTCTGTCCGAATTTTATTCAAAATGAAATGAAATGGTTGAAAAATTCTTAGAGTAACAAGCTATGAAATAAATAAGCGTCAGGAATATGTGAATTTTATGGTATACTTGTTGATAGTTCAGCTACGTTTTTCCTATGACTACATATTCTTTGAGTCCAAACCGAGAATGAATGGGAGATTCTTAAGTAAACTGGATCTAATACAACTGGATCAATGGGAGGATTAATACATGACAACAACACCACGGATACAATCTCACACAAATATAAATGATGGTGACTGAATTTTTAGGAAAGCTTTAAGATTAGTCAATATTACAAAGTACGTAATATTTTACATCCTGTAATAACCAATAGGAATGGGTATAGATTACCTGTCGGGTCGCGTCACAGTGGTTTCAATATTAATGTGTGAAAGTGTATAAAAGTAACTGTTATTTTGGTGACTCCAGCGGGTTAGATTACTATTTATTTGTGTTAACTTCAACAATTTATTTTCAGCAAGTGATACACGTTCCATAAGATTGACGTCGAGTTCTCCTTGATTACAGTACTGAGTAGGGCAATGCGTCCGAAGGTCTCTTGGTTTAAAAGTTTATTCTAAGAAAGGCTAAACTTTATTTTAAAATCATAACGTTTCTAAAATTTTGAAGTGTTGAATAAAATATTCTTACCGTTACTTTGTATTGACATCCGAGCCTCATTTTTACTCATTTCTTTTACCAGTTGTCTTCAATCCCATATTATATAGCTAATGGACCGAATATATATATATATATATATTCATTGTGTTGTGAGAATGTTTGCTCACCATTTTACTTGTCGTCACCACACTATTTCCATTTTCCTATGAAAACAATTTCTCTCTACCCATAGTTTGATGTTGCCATAAGTCTATTTATCGTAAAATATTCAAGCAATAAAATCAATGCAACATACTTTCTACCTACTTTTTTATTTCAGTTCAACGATTTTTTTCTTTCTAAATCGTTTTTATTTTGTATTCTCTTTATTTGCATTTTTTGTTTACGATGACATTCATTTCTAATCATATAATATTATTTTTACAGGATTTTTGTTAGTATGCCATATACACTGATGATGATGGTAATCTGTGATAATGAAATTTAAATGTATTCCTATGTTTTTCAAATAAATAGTTGGGTGTTAAGAGAAATCCAATGTTTGATTAATTCTTTAAACAAAGTTATCAGTTGGCCATATTTGAAGTTGTCTTTTTTTCCAAAAAGAACCTTCATTTGTGGTCGAAATTATAATGTCAATATTTACACACTAAATTGACTTAGTAAATCTATTAGAATTTACGGTTGTCTGATGGATTAGTCTGGAATTTATGATTAAATATTTTAGGGCGGCTTATCAACTTACCTTCTTTGTCAATCTCAGTGGAAAGTAACTAATTCGTTTATATCATATACAATTTATTGGTACTCATCGTCTATCTAAACTAACGTTAATAATTTTTCAATACGTAATGAACGTATTATCGAATTGAATTTCATCGTCACAACTGAATTATTTTATTCACTTTACATGTAGTCAGTGTTTGTTATGCATTAGGATTCATTCTTTTGGTGAAACCGGTATGTTAAAAAACTGTAACCGGTGAGTTCCAAGTATATTTAGAATAAGATGTATCTCACTGATCTTAGCACAATATTAACAATTGATTGATGCTAGAAATGTGGGTTATTAGACTATGAATTGCATATCTAAAGTTATCATAGATGCCAGATGACCTAAAGATCTTCAGCCTAACCTTGTGTATTGAATCTGTCAGTACATTTTTCTATGATGTTCCTAATCAAAGCGGTCAACTTATCTATCAGTATACTGGTAATTATGATATTCTCATCAGTGGCAGAATCGCAGTCATAATTTTTACGATGTGGCTGCCATGATATATGTCTGGGCATTACAGTGTAAAATAATTGATGGGTATCAGTAAGGAAACCTGAATTATTTTCTGTTCATCAATGTTTTCTATGCTCAACCTTCAAAAGTCAAGCTTTTTAATGCAGAGATCTGGATCACCCACCACACCAGTTAGGAATATTACCAAGTGATTATTCACGATGAGGCCAATATTTTTTATATATTGGTCATTTGCACTATCTAATCACTTATTTAAAATTTTATTTTGATCGAGTACCCAATACTGATTGAATTGAATTGTATATTTAAGTAAACGAAATTTACGATATCACTTTTTCCCATCGGATCGTTGGGGAAATCCTAAGAATATCCCTCTTTACACTTCCTAGGGGCCCAGAAATTCCTAGAAACGTTTTATCCAGTCGGCATTGAGTCGAATCTTTGCGTAAACATTTTAAAGAATGTAGAGTCACGTGCTACAGTTTTTATTGGATATTTATCCGTACTGATACTATATTTAGTATGGTTCCAGAAGATTAAGGTAATGTGTAACTGCATATATACCATCGTTTATCTGTAGATAAAAGCGTTCTCTTCGCACATCGAGCCTTTTCTCTTGTGCTCAACTTGCCATTATGATTAAACTTGTAGTTGCTAGAAGCAGCTAGGAAATCTAATCGAGCGTTCATTTAGCAAACATCGCGGATAAACTCCTCTCTAATGAATATCGAATGGGGATGAAATCTGAATCCAGACCTTTTATATCTACATTGAATAATTTTAATAATTTCCCTTTGATTTCCTCTTCCTTTGACCATTGCATTATAAAATCAACTGATATTATACAAAAATTTCCCAGTCAACTTTTAATCACTCATACTAATAAAGATTTCTAAACCAGTCAACACGTAAAAAACAAAATTGTGAATTCTGTTAAAACCTAAATTAAAATGATGTCCATTATTATAGGATATAATAGTTCTAAAAGATACTTGTTTATTCCACTACTTACACATGGTTTTCAACAAAACGTGTTAGACATACACTTAATAGAAAATAAGGAAGAATCTGAAGACCAGAGAATTGTGTAGAAGTAAATAAATACTATGTATCGATGGTGACGCACAAAGAAATGACCTTGGTTCTTTCCATCAAATTTGTTTTTGTATAAATTTCTCCTTAAAATGTAATATTTTTCGAATTAATTTTTCTGTGCTACATGTTTGTTTATTTACATTCAGTGTAAACACAGAGAATGTCATGTTCAAACAACTGCATATTCATTTATTTTTTTAAACTTATGTGTAAAATTGCATTTTATTACTATCGGTATTATTATTTCAACTCGCTTAATAAAGTAGACTAAGTACTGTCCGGTTCTAGAGTGTTTATGACTAGCTGATTGACCTCGTTTGAAGTCATCTCGTCAAGGAAACTTATGCAATGTCTAAGTGACCTATCATAATTATCGAAAACTGGCTAATCTCAATTTTTCATTTTATTACTACATTTTATGTAACCTGGAAGTCTTTGATTAAATTAATGATTTACTGTTTAATTTGTTATTTGTTGAGTCAACATTTCAATTCCTCTGAGTTATTTATTCAATTACCTTAGAGGTCATCAATTTTCGTTATAAAGTATAATTGATTTTAATTTAATGTAGATACTTGGTGGTTGGGCGTTTTTCTAGTTAGAGATTTATTTATTTATTTTTTTACATATTCAATCAGTTTGAATATTAACTGCGCGTATAACTAATGATAGATGGGTTAGTATGAAGAATGAAACATTATGTATCTAACAATTAAGATTTATTTTTTGGATAAATCTCTGCTGTGTATAAGCGAACAATGTAATTTTCACCAGTCTCTACCCTAATATATTATAATGTTTATACGAAAATATTAAACTAATCAAGCCAGTTTATGAGTCAGTGATAACAGTCGAATAGATTACATAAATAAACAATAAGTAAAAAGTACAAATTAATAGTGTGAGGAAAAGTGTACTAATTGTGATAAGAATAATAAATACTTGGATCAATGTTTTATAGTAGTAAGTAGGTCAAGGACTTGAAAACTATAGACACTGAAACAACATTCATTAGAAATTATAATCTTACGTAATAAGAAGTGAGGTGTTTGTTGGAGTTAGTAGACAAAATACCATAGACCTACGTTTCGTGTTGTTTTGCACTCGTCAGCAAGGTGTACCTGAACCTGCACTATTAAGGACTTGATACACGTGACATTGGTCAGTTCCCAGTAATCAGTCATTTTAAAATAGATCTCAGTCCTACAAAAGATCAGCCGTGGCCTGGATAGCTCAGTTGCAACTTCTTTAACTGTGATGCTCTTTGACACAAGATCGAATCCGTTAGGGAGCATCGATCCCCTCAAGATTACAGGTACACCTTCCAGACAAGTGCTATATAGCACGAAACCCAGGTTTAGGGATTCCTGTCGACTTACTCCGACCACCACCTTACATCTCAACATAATACACGCAATGTCGAGTCACTCAGACTAGTGACTACATTGCAGCTTTATCGATAGGATACATTCGGTCTGCAGTATGAAGGACCTAATGCACTTGACATTGGTCACTAACACATTATCTCAATTGTTTGACTGTACGCCCGATAGAGGTTTATCGGCAGAAGCATCTGATTTCATAGATGCACGTGGATATGGAATAGCCGGCTAACTCAGCCTTTATCCGAAGAGTAACTCCAAGTCGGCTAGAAAACAAGCGACAGATGTTAGGTGCACAAGACGCCATTTTTGCTGTTTATTCTACCTTGTAGCGCCTTCAGCTAGGTGAGTTCATTAAAACCAATGTGGTTAACATCCAATAACGAAGACGTACAGAGCTATTTATTTTGGGGATTTATTTACCGCTACAACATCAAGTCAAAATAAATAGTGAATTTCCAAAGTCAAGCTTAATTTTAGATATATATTTTACCCCGCTATTTTGAATCGACTTTTTGTTACATTTCGTAATTATTTCGTTTTGCATTATCTGATCCTTGCAATATCAACATAAAAATATACACGTGTATGCGGATAGATGTTTTTTAACACACATTAACTTCGTGTTATTGCTTTGTTCTCGTTTAATACTCTGTTTATATTTCATTACATTTTACAGCTGTTTTGTGTAACATTTATTGTTACCTATACATATAACGTGTCTTGTGATTTAATTAACAAATGTATTTATCTACATGTTTTCATGATGAGAGCATTGCAACAATAGAAAAAAGTTACATAGTTTTAAACATGAATTATTAATTAACCAATTCACATTTAACATACAGATCACTTCAGTTTATGTAACTAATTTTCATTTTAATATTGGAACAACGACTATGTCAAATTGTCTGACTATTTGAAATATTGAAATTTATTAGTTTATGTTTAATTAAAATAGAAGATGAATATATGTGAAGATGATTTGTGAATTGTTATCTTTAAAAGTTTACAATGATAATATATTTATTGCATTTAATCATTTTTAAAGAGTTGATTGAGTAATCATACCTTAATACTATACATTTACATTGAATGTTGAATATGATTGTGAGTATATCAATTGAATTGGAAATATGTATTTTGTCAAAGATATGTAAACGTAACAGTTGAATTACAATAGATTTTACATATACTAGTTCAAATTAACAGATTTGTGAATTTTCAATCAAAAATGTATTTTTTATTAATAAGACATAACTGTAGGATTGTTTGTAAATGTTGAGATGAGAAATCGTCATTTGTAAGATACTGTGAAAGTTCTTAAATTTTATAATCGGTTTCTATTGTTTCATCTACCATATACTTTGTTTAAAAGGAAGAAACATAGTGTTAAGATTTTCTATCGATTGCCTTCAGGAATTTAGCAAATAATAGTTTGTGGAAAACTGTTTAGAAACAATGTATAGCGCTGGCTCTACTTAACTAGTCTTTATTTCTTTAGTTCGAAACTAGCTGCTCACCCCATGGAGCTACAAGCAATGGTGAAATAGCTTTTCGGTACTCTTTGAGTTTTCAGTTAGTAAACTAAGGTTATTGTGTGGTGTGAACTATACTTGGATTGAACAATCTTCACGATGATGTTTACTCATTTAGAGCCTTTTATCGAATAACTTTAGTTTATCCCTATATAATTTTATCAATATATCTGTATGTTTACAAATAATGTTATTGATTTGTTTTATAAAGGTCACTTGTGTGGTAGTTCTTTATGTATTTGTGTATATACGGTGTACATTAAATTACAAGCATCAACTTTTTCGACTGCACATAATATGGAGAATTATACTGTCCCAGTCTGAAATATAAGGTCTATTTAGAGTAAAATTAACATTTTTATAAGGTGGTGGTCTTCATCACGTACAAAATAACATGCTTGATTGATTCAGACACTATTCACTTATTCAGGTTTGTTTGAATTTATACGTTAAAAAATGTAATAGCTACTTTCAACGCAATTTATGCTTCATGCTTCATATTGTTCATGTCTGAAAGCCGAAAAAAACTTGAGATTACGTCCACAAATGAAATTTGCCACATCATATACTAGAATTCTTTTTTTCGTTTTGTATGCTTGTAATTAGTTCGAAAACTATCCATTAATCTTTCTCAACTTGGGAGCTAAAATTCATAGGCGAATAATCACATGTTTTCACTGATTTTGTGTTTGTTTGTTTTATTTTCATCTTGAACTATAACCATTGTGCGTAGTTAATGTTAAATATTTCTAATGCACGCCACGGATAAACGTTTATACAGGTACAATTCAGTGTTTACAGTAACTAAAATATAACAAACCACTATTTTAGTAATTCGAGATTATGAAATAAAACATGAAATTTATCTGATACTGTTTTCATTTTCGTTATTGTCTCAAAATAACTCATGCACAGGAGACTTAACAGATTACTAAAGGAGTATCAGAAGACTTTCAGATAAATCCCAATCTTTTTGGTGCTTTTTTGTCACTCTTTCCTCTCAACTTTAAGCATGTAATCTTCATTTAACTTTGCAAGCCAGTATAAGTTAGTCTTTTCTATATATGGTGAAATTTATCGTACACTAATGAATCGATTTCTGATATAACTGTAAAAATGTTGCATATTTTGTTGTTGCCTTCATGTGATGAATTGTATCTCTGTGATTTGAAATAAGTTGTATTGTGCCTAATCAGTAATCAATCTGCGTACAGTCAGCAACACTAAATAATCTTTTATATTGATGATGTTGTTTAGACAGTCACCTTTCTTTTAGATATTTGTTTATCACCTATTTCCATTTCTCCAATAGCTTTTAACGGTTTATTGATATGTTCCACTGACTATAAAATTAATTGAAGTATGCCTATTAACTATTTGATACGTCTTTTTGGAAACGTAAGGGCGGTTAACATAGATTAAGAGCATAGATTGGAAGTAGATTATGTGAATCATTCTTTTTTTCAAAGTTGAGTTGCTCGATTTATGAATGGAGGGAATTTTAAGGTAAATAAAAGATTCTAAATAAATTTTTTTTGACCAATAGCATTTTTTCTACTTCGAGTAATAGTAAATTAATGTCTAGCATTTTTCCGTTAAACAAAGAGGGAGAGTTTCAATAAGTTGATCGAACTTGTCATCTGACTGTAATCCAACTGTAGAATTTTCTTATTTCGATCACATAGGCAAAAAGAAATACCATTGTAATTGTTGCTCGTATTTCCCTATTGAATAACAAACAAGTCAAATAAACACTTGTTATATAATCAATCTTTCTTATTTTCTATTACTTCAGCCGTCATGGTACTCGTTGCGCTGGCGAAGTGGCTGCTGCCGCAAATAATAGTGTATGTGGATTAGGTATAGCTTATAAAGCTCGTATAGGTGGCGTACGTATGTTAGATGGTGATGTGACTGACGCAATGGAGTCACGTTCATTAAGTCATCAGCTACAACATATTGATGTATATTCTGCATCATGGGGTCCGGAAGATGACGGTAAAACAGTTGATGGTCCAGGCAAACTTGCTCAAATGGCATTTCGTAATGGAATACAAATGGTAAGTAGTTTGAATGCTGTTTTGTTTTTAATTTAATTTGTAAATAACTGTTTACTCAGTTAGATTAAACACTACACATTTCCACTTGTTTTTTTAGAAAACATTAGATCATAGTCAACATTATCATTCTTTTTTGAAGACAACATACTGTCGGAAGTTTTCTATTCTTAATACATATCAAAGCTATTTAGTTTTTTTGTTCTGTCCATCTCTAGTAGCTTCATATTAGTAATATGTTTGTTGTGAATTAAAAATTAGTTTTGTATTTTGCAGTTAACACTATGGAACATGATCACTATATTTTAACAATTACATGGACTCTTACAATACCACTTTTATATTGTCTTATTCTATCGATTATTTATCCAAATACCAATATATAATTACATGATTAGTGAAATTCTGACAACGGTTTCATACTTCGGAGGTATCGATTGGTTATATGCGTAAAAATATTAAGTGAGAAATGACACGATGAAATCAGTTATATTAATGTTCAGTATCCTACAGATTTAATGGACATATCAATTATAAGAACATTCTGTAAAGATCAATGTAATGGTATATGAAGTTTATTAAAATCAACAAGTAGTATATATGTATATGTATAAACGTCAGTGGCTTTCTTAAAAGTTAAAACTAAAACAATATATGATTATTTCGTACCGTTCAGTTCTGTAGCACTTAAAAATGGAATACATCTTTTTTTGTTCAGGATCCATCAACCTTTTGGTTATTGAATGATTTTGATATTTAGAAATTAATTAGACACTGATATAAATTACCATTTATTACTACTTTTGAAATAGACCTACAACTCATCCTATTTTGACCAATCATGCATAAATCGTTATGTTTACTGTTAATATCTTTACGGGCATCTGAAATTTCACAAGATTACTTCAGACTATTATTCTTTATACTAGTTTTAACCCAACTCATCAGATTGGTTATTTCATTACTTAATGAATTACAATATTTCGTGTTAGTGTATCCAAAAACCGACAATAAATTTTTGAGTTTTTTATTGATTATCAAAAGATATGATATCTATTTTTGAAATCTTATTTCCCAAATAATTGAGTTCCATAAAGCGATGAAATATCTAGAATATACATTTATTTCGTCTAAATTATTTGTTGTCAACTGTTTCTAAGTATGTATTGAATTAACTTTTATGTTTACAGGGTCGACGTGGTTTGGGATCAATTTTTGTATGGGCCAGTGGGAATGGTGGTACAAGTCATGATAACTGCAATTGTGATGGGTATACAAATAGCATTTATACACTAGGTGTTGGATCAGTTTCAGAGCATGGATCTGTTCCATGGTATGCAGAATTATGCTCTTCAACGTTAGCTGTTACCTATAGCAGTGGAGGACGTGGTGAACGTGGTGTTGTAAGTTTTCATGATCATTTTCATTTGAGAAAAACGCTTAGCTTCAATTTGATATTATGTAATTCGTTTGTTTTTTAAGTGTAACTTTTTAAATGACACAATCCACTAACATTTGATGTAGTCTGTTTTACTGAATCATCTATTTATGTTTGTCATTCAGTCATTGATCACCACAATTAGAATCGTACAGAAGATCATGGTAAGATTTATGTTTTCAAGCAAACGAATAGTGTTTACAACTTGTATAGGATCAAAACAATCTTAATAATATAAGAGTGAGAGTAAACGTTTGACATAATGAACAATCTATTTATTTATGAATTCATGTTCTTGCAGTTTTAATGTGTTTTATGATGAGAAAGGTTTGCTACGTCATTCATTTAGTTAGTCCTCATTTAATCTGTGTTGAGTTGTATGAAAGTTATAATTTCGATATCAGTACCTTTAAGTGTATGGAAAGTGTTTTGAAGCCTATAATTTAATATTATAATTTGTTAACTTTAGCGTTGAATGTTCTTTGAAGGTACTTTTCAAGGCTCTTTTTCAATTTGATAAGTGTAAGAAATAAAAAGAAAACGCCGAAAAACTGTTCCCTCTTGGTTTCATCTATTCCGTTTTAACGAAACATTGTAACATGTGGAGGAAATACAGTCAAGATTAAGATAAAATAATCACTTTTAATTGAAGGATGGTTTCACTATGGGATTAATTGTCTGTTTAAAGTAGATTGTCGTCAGGACTGAAATCCAGTATTCACATTTCGTCCTATTTAGGACTAGTAATACGAGAATGCCCTCATTTAATGTTGACATCCTTTCTGAGACTCTAACTTGTTACCTTTCCCTTCGAACGCTCAAAGATTTATCTATCCATTGAGCTATTGAGTCTAGATATATTCTATATTTTTCAACAAGTTTGACGATTATGTCATTCATAGTAAGCGTTTTTACTGTCTCGTTATTCCGGACTGAATTTTGATCACTTTATTGGCGTATATGCATCATGTGTATATCCTGTGATATAGTTATTGAATTACAGATTATTCAGAATTCTATTCATGTTTGAAAAAACCAGAAATTTGTTTCGTGATCCAGTTGTTGAAATGCAACATGTATGTTTCAAATCCGAATAAACATCCTATAGTATAGGGTTGTGGAGATTGCTGAGTTTTGATTGAGATCATGAATTGATCAATGTTAGACCACCATTTAAAACCTCGAAGCCCGGTACTGCCGTTTCTTATTAGTATGGTACTCCTCAGCAGCGCGCACCCACGCTCCCGCACGCAGTATTGTAACCCAGGTTCCTAGGTCTCGCGTGCGAATGCAGTTGCTCACTGAAGACAGTTGAAGATGGTCGTGCAATATCGTGCATTCGTCGATGTTAGACATCTGTTAGACGCCGGCTCAGTGGTCTAGAGGTTAAACGTTCGTGCTGGAAACCATAGGTCCTGGGTTCGAATACTGCGTACAGGATCATGGATGTGCACTGTTGAGGTGTACCATACTAATACGAAACGGAGATCAAGTGCTCTCAGGTTTTCAATGATGATCTAACGTTGATCGATTCACGTTCTCACTCAAAACATTCCACAATTTATCGTATACATCAAATTTACTAAAGGGAGTAGTAAATCAAAGTAATGAACTTGTTTAGTGCTTTTTTTCCATTGACACTATGAATTCTGCTATGTTTTCATTGAAAATCTTTTAGAATCTGTTGAGAAACATACAAACGAATCACAGTGATAAGAAATTCATCCATCTGATATTTGTATGATTGACCAAGTTCAGATCAACGTAAATTCCGTAGAACCAATCAAGAATATATTTATTTGAATCTAAATTAGGATAAAATATTGAATAAAGTCTTTTTGTTATGGGAAAATAAAAAAAAACACTAACATAGTAGCCAAAAACGATTGTTTAACCAAACAATATGCAAAATATCATTATTGGTAATTGAACTATAGTTCTTTTCTAAAAATGATTATAATATTTCAATATAATTCTCAATTCCCTTATTCAGATTTCTAGTCAGGAAGAATTTTGTTTCTTTGTGTACTTTCCATTTTCCATTTCAACTAGAAGAAATTGAGTGAGTGTTTATGTGTATGAATGGACAATAGATTTTTGTTCGCTTTCAATTTCCTGAAAAGTTGTTTTGGTATTTTGAAATTGTTGGATATAAGGAAGCCCTAAATATCTCGTTTTCTAGATATGTAACATTGACTATTTTTAACTTTAAAGGATTTTCGCTTCCTGTTTGTCGGTGTTGTAACATGACATGAGTATAGCGATGTTGCTTGTTTTATTTCATGTAAAAAAGTAGTAGATTTTCACCTGATTTCTTTCGAATTCATTCCAAAAATACTACTTCCTTCTGAGTTCATGCAAATCTCTGTCTAGTAATATTCTGCCTTTGAAAAAGACGCTACAGTTATGGATTACAAATCACTTATCTAAAAGCGTAACATACTCCCTGGGGAACCTGAAAGACATAACTTCCATCTCTGGTTGGCTCATAAATACAAACTGTTAATAAGTCACATAAGAAAACACAATCACTTTACAGTGCTCCAGCACTTTTTAATGGTGTTCTAACTAGTATCAATCATTAACTAGTTCTACTTACTTATTGCTTTTCAAAAAGTTCTTTTTTATGAGGAAACAGTTTTTCGTAGTTAATACTAAGAGGTGTTTGTAGATAATGCCATAATCCAAATATCTTTTTTAAGTTAAAGTGAAATATTGGTTTCAAATGGTTCAGAAACGATTACCCTTAGTTTATTAATTCTCGGTTATTAGGTTTCATAATTTTTAATTGTATAGTCTGTCTTGGAAAAAATTATACTCCATCTGATTATTCCTTGTATAAAAAATATCAAAAGAATCATCAATTGAATGTTTATTTATAATGTTTCGAACATTAGTGTGTAATATTTACTATTTCCGGTTTTCTCTTTTAATAGAGTTTAAAAATTAAACATTTCTCTAGATAATGGTACATTTGAAATATTCCCATACTGTAAATTTAGAACAATATATGTAAGCGAACAATATTGTTTTCGATTAGATTCTTATCAGGCTTTACTCCAATATACAGTAATATTTATATGTATATACGAAATTATTAAACCGATCAAGGTAGTTTATGAATCAGTGATAACAATGGAAAAGATTTTGATGGAGTTTTGTTCTCTGAGCTGGATGGTTTGGTCGTGGAGCTTTCATCGTTCTTCTGGACGACATCATCAGCACAAACTTCAGATAGAAGTGAAGTGGAAAAGATTACATAATAAGTGAAAAGTACAAATTGATAGTGTGGTGACAGGTGTACTAGTTTTGATAAAAATAATAAAGGCTTAAATCAATGTTACATAATCAGAAATAAGTCAATGATTAGAAAAATATAGTGAGATAACATTTATAAAAATCATAAGATTACGTAATAAGAAGTGTCACCACACTATCAATTTGTACTTTTCACTTATTATGTAATCTTTCCCATTGTTATCATTGATTCATAAACTACCTTGATCGGTTTAATAATGTCGTATATACATATAAATATTACTGTATATTGGAGTAAAGCCTGATGAGGATCTAATCGAAAACAATATTGTTCGCTTATATATATATATATATATATATATATATATATATATATATATATATATATATAGTTCTAAATGGTACATATCTCAAATGTTCTCGGATTTTCGATTACACATATTTCAAACAATCTTTTAGTCTCGATAATGATATTAGAAGACGAAGATTATCAGAACTATGTGATATATTAGCGCAATACATTTCGAACAATCTGATCACACATATACTTGTTAAGAGCATTTATATATAAAAATAAAAGGTCAACTAGACAGCAGAGGATAAACATCCATCATCCTCTATTGCTAAACATATAATTGAAACAGGTTACAAGATTGATCTAAATTCAGCTTTTGTAGTGCTGTATAAAAGTGTAAAAGGGCGTATACTAAGGTTCATTGAAGCCTTAGCCATACGAAAATTTAAACCCCCTTTATGTGTTCAAAAACAGTTTGTTCTTACCTTAAACCTACCCTGGTAATATTGACTTATTATCCAGAGTGATTAGGTTTCGCTTTGTGTTCACATTATTATTATTATTATTACTCTTATCATTATCCTTATCTCCTCTTACCCCGTTTCCTGTCTAGTTGACCTTTTATTTTTATATATAAATGCTCTTAACAAGTATATGTGTGACCAGATTGTTCGAAATGTATTGCGCTAATATATCACATAGTTCTGATAATCTTCGTCTTCTAATATCATTATCGAAATTTATCAAAGGGACTAATTGTTTTAAATCTTTTAGTCAGTTTTCGTTGAAATCTTTGATCGGAGTAACAATTGATCTGTCATTCATATAAAGAGGTTTTGATGTATGAAAGAAAAAAAATACATCTATGAACAGGTCTCTTTTCAAATTGACTAATATTATGCTAATTATTTGTTTTATCTGATCCCTGATTATTTTGTATCATCGTTTTGCCTAAATTGTTTATTACTGATCTGTAAATAACACCTTATTTTATCTATAAAATGTCTATCTTGTTTTCGTTTTGTTTTATTTACATTGTTTATCAAAAGTTCAAAATAATTGATAATCCATACTGCTAATACACTAATCGATATGAATAAATAAAACTTGTTTTCTCTAAGATACAGTAACTTGAAAGCCAATAAATATTTAAACATAAATATGAGTATATACAACTTGATAATCACGTGTAGATTTTTAGACTAAACTTCGTTTGATTCATCTTTTAGAAAGCAATGGTGATACTCAATTGACCACAGCATAAAATATACAATGTATATTTATTCGATTAGACTATTTTAATAACAAAGTTAGAATTACTAGGTCATTCGTAGCACAAAGCACTGGTTTAACGATATCCTTTTCATATCTTTATTTATTTATTTAAACACATAAACATTGGTACAAAGAGA